TCAAGTTTATTAACATATGCACTACATCACATACTTAATTTTTTTGTTGACAGCACTCAGGACACATTACTAACTTTAAAATGGTTTAAAATTTTTTAACATTTTAAAAAATATCTTCTAAATCCTTAAAATACACTAAACTTAGTTCAAAAGCAAACATTCTATGTTCTATATACTTAATACCTATTAAAAGAGGTTGAATTTTCTGAGCTAAAATGTTTTCCCCTAAGTTTGATTTCCTACCTTTTACATAAATTTACATACTCCTGTAACAAAGTAGCTCAGAAAGTTTTATTTTTAAAAACCTTTATTCACATCCCATCTTATGATTGCATAAATCTCATTTTGGGTAATATTACCTACTTGTAAAAATTTCATCCAGTTTCATGTGCTGACACAAATCAAAATCGGAACACTGGCTACATACTAAAGATTTCTTGCAATCTCAAATACTCAGTTAAATATCAAATTATCTGCTGCTGATGCTACCTGTATATTATAATATTCCTATTAAGCAAACTCTCCAATAGTATTTTGCTTCCTTTGTTAGCACCTGCAATAGACAAGATAATGAAGGTTTTACAATTAAAACCAATAACCAAGTTTCTCTAAATTAACCTAATTCTAATTTAAGATATCATTTCTTATCCTATCAAACATTTTAGTAACCCTGAGATTCATGTTAAATTTTAAATAGCTAAGTACTAGGTCAGGTTTCCCAAAAGGATCATGTCCTTTCATTCTCTCCTAGAGACACAGCAGCATTTAAGATGCTCTTATTGATTAGATCAACAAACTAAATTCTGGAAATTTTTAAAAGGCAACTAATGCTAAGTCAATCCCCAGTGTTCTTCTAAAATTTTCCAATGCAAATTGTTAATTTCTGGCCCAACTTCCCCGTTACCACAAGCATAGTCTATGCTACCTCTATATACTTAAGTAAATTCTGCTGCAAATCCTATAATGCATGCAAAAATACTTAGGGTGATGCAGAGCATCCAACTTGGGTGACTTGTTCTGCTTATTGATCATCCCACATACCACTACTGCACAACCCTTTAAAATCTTCTGCCCTCATATCCTCCATTATACTAATCTCTTCCTAGGCTGGGGGGGGGGAGGAATTGCTTCCAGGACACCCTCCAACCACAAACACACACCGCTCCCCATCCCAAAATCCAAAGAAACTCAAGTCCCTAACATAAAGTGGCATTACATATCTGCGTATAACCTACACACATCCTCCAATATAGTTTAAACCATCTCAATTATTTATAATACCTAATACAATGTAAGTGCTATGTAAGTAGTTGTTATACTGTACGTTTTGGTTATTATTTTGTTGTATTCTTTTTTGGGCACCCCCATCCCAGATATTTTCAGTCCAAGGTTGGTTGAATCCGAGGATGCAGAACCCTCAGATATGGAAGGCCGACTGTACTTAACAGAAGAAAAAAATGCTCTCAAATCATATTTATCATCTGTTATTTTAAAATAAATCACCTGAAATATCCCTAAGGAAGCAAAAGTAACTTAACAAAGGTATAGATGGCTGTCAGCTGCCTCAGCACACTTAAATCTTTTATCTCAAAAGAACCTAAAAAAAATCACCTGATGCAATTTCCTCACATTGGAGATAAAGCTACGGAGAGACAGAGAGCATTTTGGGCTGGTTATCTGAAACTACAAATATTTAGTTAAGACATGTAATTTTTTAGAGGCAGACAGAAAAACCCACTGGACTTACACTGTTCATTTGGTAACCACTAGCCACAAGTCACTACTGAGCACCTAAAATGTGACTAGCCCAAAGTGATATGTGCCATAACCGTAAAACACACTCTGAGCTGGGCGCGGTGGCTCTCGCCTGTAATCCTAGCACTCTGGGAGGCTGAGGCGGGTGGATTGCTCGAGGTCAGGAGTTCGAAACCAGCCTGAGCAAGAGTGAGACCCCGTCTCTACTATAAACAGAAAGAAATTAATTGGCCAACTAAAAAATATATATACAAAAAATTAGCCGGGCATGGTGGCGCATGCCTGTAGTCCCAGCTACTTGGGAGGCTGAGGCAGGAGGATTGCTTGAGCCCAGGAGTTTGAGGTTGCTGTGAGCTAGGCTGACGCCACGGCACTCACTCTAGCCTGGGAAAACAAAGTGAGACTCTGTCTCAAAAAAAACAAAACAAAACAAAAAAAAACAACACACTCTGAATTGCAAAGACTTAGTACCAAAAAAGAATTAATGGCTCTCATTCTATCTAGTTATTTAAGGAAGTCCACTCTTAAGTGATTATACAAACACCCACACAGGCAAAAAGCATGCAATGAATGATCAGGCCTCTTTTATTCAACTCCTGAAGTCACTGAGGCAATGCCGACAATTCATTACTGGGGGTTTGGATTCTTCTATTTTCATCTAGACATGGGAAAACCATTGGCAATTAATTAATACTCTGGAATGGAAAAGATACTTCACAGGCTAAACAAAAGCTTCTCAGGTTATTAAAAATATTAAGTGATTTAAAAGGCATCTGAATGGCAAAGCTATTTCCTAATTGGTGAAAACTAAAGTGAGGGGAATATGTTTCACCAAATATAAATAAACCAAGGCTGCTTTTAATATTCTTTGGAGAAGACCCGTACTATAAGTGAGAAAAACACTCTTTAGAAGAATTGTTTTTCAATATTTCTTGACACCGTCACAAAAAGATATTTTACAGAAATACATGCATTTATAACTGAACCAACACACTATTTCACGAAACACATTATTTTCTTTATTTTTTTAAAATTCTGGATCATCACTCACTAAAGTGATTTCATGACCCAATGACTCAAGACCTACAGTTTGAAACAATGGTTTAGTACTCTTAATACTAAGTAATTCCCACTGTGAGTAAAACTATTACTTACTACCTTAGCTACTAAAATAAACAGTACACAATATCTATCATGCTGTTCTCCAAATCAAGAAATGTTCAGTTAATGTTAACAGGAATAAAATGCCCTCAAGGAGTAAGCATGAGACGAACTTGTTTGATACTGATCTCTTCACTCTGTAAGTCTGAACTCAGCGATTTACAAACTTCTGCATTCTATAAACAGGTGTTTTGTTTCCCTCTACTTTTCAGACTTGCAAAATTCTTGAGTCTCTCAAATTCAACAGAGGTTCAATTTAGTGATGGACACCCATAGCCTCTTTCAACATATAGGAAAATACCCTTTATCATTGCAATATAACTATCCAAAAGCGTTAACTCCCCCCCCCACGTGAATTATAACTGAACCCAAGTGAGTCATATTTAACTCATGCTAGTCCTGACACCAGGGCCTCGTGAAGCGTATGTAATTCATGTCTCTTCACCTTGGGAGCTGCGAGAACTATTTTTCAAGTAGCATATAGCTCATGCACAAAAAACAATAAAAAAGAACAAATTTTCCATTAAATTAGAAAGAATGGTTTTGTTTTCAAAGTTTTTATTCTGTTTTCGTAATAAAACACCGTGGTCCCAGAGAAAAATGTTTTTTGCTAGTGTGGCAGTCAATGTGTTAAATTGCTAGTCATCACTGAAATTACAAGATGTCAAGACATTTGTCTATTCTCTAAAAGTTCTCAAGTGTCAAAATAATACTTTAATAACTATGTATAATAAACATCTTCACAAAACCCATTCAGAGTAACGTCCAAGTATTTACTTCCTTAACTACACATACTTGCTGAACGTATTGTATTGTAAATGAAACCGGACTGCCAAACAGCAGAAAAATCTGGACATAATTATTTTCTAAGCTACATATAAATTTAGAATTTGACAGGCAACTTTCTTATACTATTGCATGATTTTCAGGCCAAAAGAAATAAATGCACAGGAACGCCAAATGTTGTTTTACTTTAGGAAATGTCAAGAAAACAGTATTTATCAATAGAAGTTAAAAAAAGAAAACCAATTTCCTGATTTACTGCAAGATTTAACACTGTCTCCACTACCTTTTCCCGTTTGCCAACCGTCTCGTAAATAAGTCTATATATTAAAAAAATCATAGAGCTGAAAAAAACACACCATCATCTCTGACACAGAACCTACTGTAAGAAGTTGGAAGACGGAAGGGCACTGCTGGCCAAGGACATAAAGGTTACCACATTCCTCACACTACAGCCTCCTGTCACGGAAGTTTACTAGCTAGCCTTGGAAGCATTCAGTTCCAAGAGTTGGCAGCGTCAAGTCAAAAGGCCAGCATCGTTTCCGGTGACACTGAGTCGCAAATCTCCCAAGCCCAGTCTCCTGGGATACAATTTCCTCCCGCTCTCGAGTTCCCTTCCCCCTCGCCAAGGACGGCTGCTGCAGCGGACCTCCAGCCGCAGCAGCTGCTACAGGAAGAGAGGCTGCACTTGGCCGAGGGGAGCAGGGGTAGAGAGCCAGCCCTAGCTCTCCCGCCCTCCCCGCCCGCGCCCTCCTGCCCCCCCCACTTCCTACCTTCCCTCCTTCATCCCAACCCCCAAGGCCAAGGTCTCCCCGGCCCACAAACCTGCTAACGGAAGTGACGTCAGAAGGACCTGGCAGCGCCCGCAGCCAGTCACGCCACAGCGGGAGGCAGCACCAGCCAACAAGCGCACGCCAGAGGGCGGGACTTCCGCCCGCCCCAAGTTTGATTGAAGCAGGGGGAAGGGAAGAGTAAAGAATGTGAAGAATGACCCCCTCCCCCGCCCCGCCAGTGAGGGGCTGGGCGGGAAGCTGAGGGGGTTGGGGCCAGCCCCGCAGTGGCCACGCGGCACCCCTCCCCCGCGTCCTGAGTACCGGCGGTCTCGGCTGGCACTACGCCGGCCGCCTCAGGCCCACCCGTCCACCAGAGGGGGCCAGGCCGCCCCACGGGCCCCAGGCCATGCTAGTTGGGCAGGCGCGGGCCGGCCCACGGCTCTACCCTCCTGCCCGTCCGCCGCCACGGGTCTGAGGAAGAGAAAATGGCGACGGCCCCGCGCTCACTGTCGCGCCCGCCGTACCCACCTCAAGCTCATGGAGAAAGCCGCCGCCGCCTCGGGAATAGCGAGGCCCTCGCGCCGACCGCTGCCCGGCGCCAGCGCCCAGGGAGCAGCGCGCGATAACCCGGATGGGAGCGCGGGCGGGCGCCGCCGCAGCGGCCTGAGGGAAGGCAGCGCGGGCGTTGGGAGGCCGATGCGGGGGCGGGCGCCGCGGCCAGAGCGCGAGCTCATTGGTGGACCGTCTGATTGACGTGCGCCTAGCCCTTTCACCTTGGCTAAGCTAGGCTGGCCCGTCCCCCTTCGAGGGCGGTGGCTGGGCCCAACCCGCGCTGGGAGGCCCCCGCAGGAGAGGCGGGCCTGACCCGCCCACCCTGACGGTCTCCTTCTTTACTATTGCAGGGCCGGAAGAGTGGCGGGGGCGGTGTCCGGACCTCCAGACCCCGCCCTCTGCACGTGATGGGCAAGCCTTGTCACGTGGCCGCTGAGCGTGCTGCCCGCGGGGCGAGGCGGAGCGGCCTGGCTGACTCGCTCGGGCTCTTGGGGGCGATTTCCACGTGCGCGTCCCCGAAGGCCTGTGTGTAGTCCAGCGTGCAGCGCGCTCTAGGAGGCCTTGAGCCTGCCGGTCTTCTTTCGATGCCTCAGTTTGTTATTTTGTCAAATGAAAGAGTCATGTCTACCCAACATCTCACTTTTGTTCAAGTTGTATTATTTTTTGTCCCATATTTTGAAGATTTTTGTCTTGAAACGTTTTTCAAAGCAATCCTTAATTTTCCTATTTTAAAGTTGACCCAAAACAAAGTTCTTCCACCCACCTTATGACTTTTCTATACTAGGACTCCATAACACAAGGCACTGGTTAAGGTTCCGTTTATGGTCTCTGCCAGTTCTAAGATTCTGTGGTTGGCATCCGCAATATCTGGGCTCTAGCTCTGTTTTTACTAATTCACTATAGTTCTGTGTACGACGCTTTAAAACAAAAATTGGCTTCTCATCTGTAATAGAACTTTGGGAATTAGCACTTTACATTTTACACTGCACATTTTTGTTTATGATCTCTGGTGTTGCTACCTGCTATCTGCTATCCTTTTATCACTTGCATTAATGCAGGCTATAAATGCCAAAGAAGTTAAGAAGATGGGGACTTTATTTTATGGACTAAAGTGAAAAAGAAACTAGAGGAGAGAAAACTTGAGCTTGAGACTGCAGGATGAGTGGGACTTAGGGAAGGCTTCTGGGGCCAGAAAGGAGGATGTGTTCAGAAAGGAAAGAACAGGCCCCTGAACTACAGTGTAGTTCAGGAAAAGATTGGGCTTATGCTGTAGAGCAGTAGTCTCCAACCTTTTTGGCACCAGGGGCCAAAGTGGTTGGCAATCTAGCGTTCTGGATCATTCAAGCACATTACATTTATTGTGCAGTCAAACCTATCTTCTAATGATGATCAGTATAAGCCATCACTCCCCAGTGCTAGCATCACCACCTCAGCTCCAGGTCAGATCATCAGGCATAAGATTCTCTTAAGGACTGCAGCAACCTAGATCCCTCCCATGTGCAGCTTACAGTAGGGTTCTTGCTCCTATGAGAATCTAATGATCTCAAGTCCCCGCTGATCTGACTAGAGGTGGAGCCATGATGCCAGTGATCGAGAGCAGCTGTAAATACCGGTGAAGCTTCTCTAGCTGGACTGCCCCTCACTTCCTACTGTGCGGCCTGGTTCCAAACAGGCCATGGACCAGTACAGGTCCTCCACCTGGGGTTGAGGACCACAGTTGTAGAGGACATGGAACTCTTACTGCAAAGATTGTATTGTTCATGTATACCCCAAGTACCCAGCACAACCATAGGGTGGTATTAAATGAAATCTGGTAATGATGAGATAGGCTGAGATGGGAAGAAAGTATTAACAAAGAAATCAGGATATGATATTGTTAGGTATTAGAGTTTAGAGGTTCTATTAATATGAGCTTCAATTGTATAGTAGAGGCTGGTGGGTCAATGTGTTAAAGAAGAAATTTATAGCAAGAGGCCCTGTAGCACTATGAGCCTTTCTGACATTTTTTTCACATGTTCATTGGAAAGTTCTTGGTAAGTTTGGAAAAGTGCTTTTGACATCTATTACTATTTTCTTTCCCATGCTTCATTGTCTACCCTTCAAAGCCAACTAAATGACCCTAAAGTAGAATTCGTTGAAAAAATTAATAGATCTGACCATATAAATGAAACTGAATTTTTAAAAACTTTAAAGTTAAAAGACAAATGACAAGTTGGAAAAGTCATTTGTAAAAGCTATAAGAGACAAAACATTAATTAGACTGTCTGGTGGTGAAAAGCAAGGATCTGGAACCAGACAGCTGAGGTGAATCCCAGAGACATTCTGCCTCTTTCCAGCTATACAACTGCACAAACTTGGGGAAATTGAATTATCTTTTCTGTGCCTCAGGTTCTTCATCTATAAAATGAGGATTAGAACAATACTTACCTTATAGGCTGTTGAAAGGATTAAATGTAAACATCTCAAGTACTTAGTGCTTGGTACATATAAGCACTAAGTAATTGTTTGCTAATATGGTATCCTTAATACATAAAGTGGATTTTTTCAATCAATAGGAAAAGTGAACAATGCTATTAAAATATAGACAAAGGAAATGAACTGACAATTCACAAAAGAAAAAATGAAAATGGCCCATAAACATGAAAAGATGGTCATCCTCATTAGTAATCAAATAAATACAAATTTTAAAAAACACTGAAATCTTTCTCAACTCTTAGTTGATCAGTGACATTATAGAAGAAAACATTGGAAGCAGGAGTGTAAATGTATATGACTCTTTAAAAAATACATATCCTTTAATCCAGTAGTTAGCTGCTGCTAGGAATTTGTGCCTAGAAAAAACAGAACAAATGTACAAAGATTCCTCCACAGGCTGTTCATCATCTTGTCTATAGTAGCTCCAAATTACAACCATCTCCCAGTATACCATAGTTGATTGCATAAATATATTATGGTCCAAACATGCCATGAAAACCTATGATTGTGATGTGGATCTAGATTTATAATTGTGAGAAGATTATCAGAGTATACTGTTAAGTGAGAAATAAGGTTACAAAAAATGTGTATGTTATCCCATTAACCTTAAACGACAATTAGTTCTGGAATGACTCATGATCTTTATTGTCCTTGCACATGTCTGGACTCCTGACAGTATGTATTCCTTTCATAATCAGGAAAAATATAAAAATAAAATCTATGCCACATGTTAGTTGTTCCTCAATATTCATTGTCTTCTTTTTCTATAGTAAACAGAAAGCCTGTTTTTAGGTGATGGCAGAACTATTAATAAATCTCCCCTGAATGTAACTATGTGCCTGAGTTCTGGCTGGGGAACTGTGAGCCAAAGGATGGGAAGAGGTTCTGGGTTCTTCACATCTAGGGAAGGGCTTGCCCCTTTCCCCCCTTTCCAGTCTCCAGCTGCCTGGGTGGAACAGGGCTGTGATGGAGAACCACTGTGCCCACCAGCTGAGAGCAGCTACATAGAGCAAACCCAAGTCCCCTGGTGGCATCACAGGGAACTTGCCACACAACGTTGGACTTTAAGTGAGAGAGACATAACTTCCATCTCATTTAAGCTCCTGAAATTTCAGGGTACTTCCACTAGAAGCTAGCCTGATAAGGCAGGCATGCATGTGGGCATGGTATGGAAAGAGCACACAACCTTTGGAGTACAACAAACAAGGGAGAAGAATGTGGAGCAACTCTGTTTCCTATGTTTTCATGTTTCATACATCCCAGCAGGACTCCGATTGTCCTCATTTGGGTACTGTCCCCTTGTAGGACTGACCAGTCTGGGACACCCTTGGGAAATTGAAATATGTCTGCATTTCAATTAGATCATACATAGGAAAGTGATTTGAGACTGCTGAGTGCTAAACAGAACCCGGTTGTCATTAACAGTCTTTTGGCAAAGGGTAAGAAGAACATCATTTGACTCATTGCCTAGGACCAAACAGAACGACCTGAGTGTGGTGGAAACCAGCCCATGGAATACCATAGTTGTTTCCATTCTTTAGGTTCAAGTCCAAGTGCATCCTCATGGCCTGGCCTCAGCCTCTCTCCACTCCCCACTCTTGGTTGGTGGTGCAGCTCCTACTGCTGCTCAGGTTACCTGGCAGGCTTGTCCCATCTTTATCTGGCCTGCCCTAGGCATTCAGATGGTGTTTGAATTGCCCCTGTTCAGAGAGGAGTTTCCTTGCCACCAATCTAAGTCCTCACCTCAAATCACTATTTCACCACTATGTTTTTGTAACATCTACAACATTTTAACACTCTCTGAATCCATCTTGCTTGTTTTATTGATGTTCTCCCTCCACGAGGGCAGGGAATTTGTCTGGCACATTTTCACTACTGTGAGTATCTCCATATCCTAGAATGGGCACACACAACAGGCACTCAAGAAATATCTCTTGATGTGTGGAGTTAAAAGTGAAGAGACTGGGGTAGTTTTCAGTGGAGGCTGAGACCGAAGGATACAAACAGGAGAAGCCGTCAGGAGAGCTCAGGTTGTGAGGGTCAGGACCTGCAGAAAGTATGAATAAGCCAAGGGCGAGGCAGCTGGCTGGGCCCAGGAGGAGAATTGAATGGAGTTGCTGAGTCTTGAGTAGGCCAGCAAACTCCTGCTGCTGAGGTTCTCGCTGTAGCCAAGCCCCAAACCATAACCAGAGGTCCTGTGTCCCAGAGGCCTTGTTGTCTCATGAATCCAACTCCACCTCTCTACATGCAGCCTTAGAACAGAACCCTCCCTTCACTCTCCTTAAACTAGGCAAACAAGTCTGTTTTCTTTGCAATGAAAATAACTGAGGTAAAGCAAACACACTCCTGGAAACTTTGTCTGACCTTCACCCTCCCTCAGCCCCCTTCCCCAGGTGTGGTGCTCTGTCTTTGTGCAGCTGTTCCCCTCTGACCCTACACTTGTCCCATGGTGCGGAAATGATTAGTTTGCCTCTTGGTCTCCCTACTATTCATAGGTCAGATTACCTGCCCTTATTCCTGGGTGTGATGGTTAGTTTCATGTACCAACTTGCCTGGGCCACAGGGTGCCCAGATATTTGGTTAAACATGAGTTATAGATGTGTCTGTGAGGATGCATGGAAGAGATTAGCATTTGAACTGATGGACAAAGGAAAGCAGATGGCCCTCCTCAGTGTGAGTGGGAGGGCAGTATCCAATCCATCGAAGGCCTGAATAGAGCAAAGAGGTGGAGGAGGGTTGAATTCATTCCACCTGAATGTTTTTTTTTTTTTTTTTTTTTTTTGAGACAGAGTCTCACTTTGTTGCCCAGGCTAGAGTGAGTGCCGTGGCGTCAGCCTGGCTCACAGCAACCTCAATCTCCGGGGCTCAGCGATCCTCCTGCCTCAGCCTCCCGAGTAGCTGGGACTACAGGCATGCGCCACCATGCCCGGCTACTTTTTTTTTGTATATATATTTTTAGTTGGTCAATTAATTTATTCCTATTTTTGGTAGAGACGGGGTCTCGCTCAGGCTGGTTTCGAACTCCTGACCTTGAGCAATCCGCCCGCCTCAGCCTCCCAAAGTGCTAGGATTACAGGCGTGAGCCACCGCGCCCGGCTTCCACCTGAATGTTTGACCTAGGACATTGTCTTCTCCTGCCCTCCTCTCTTCTGGT